GATGCCGGTCACAGATGCTGGTGAAACATTAGGAAACAAAACTTCAAGAACACGGCCACACAGCCCGGAAGACCCACACCAGCCATAGTAGTGAAATTGTCAAAACCTTCATTCAGAGTCCCAGGTCAAAGGATCATCATATAATCTATTGCTCCTAGGCTGACTTTGTTATAGACCAATTCATTCCAAAATAACTCAGCAACACTTATATCAGAGTGAGCAAGTTTGAGGTTCCTGGGATCAATTTTTAGTTTTCATTGTGGGGTCACACGAGATGCCCTTTAGTAGGCTTCTCTGTGTACCCTGCAGCACATTTCTGACAAAACAGGGATTTGTTTTCAGTGGTATGGGTTGAGTGCTCACTCAAAACGTGCTTCTCTTTCCCCCCCTATTTAAGAATGTTGTGTATGATGAAGAGGGATGTTTTAATTCTTGCTTTTGCTAAATAGATTATTACCCTTAATTATCTACTGTAAATCTCTAGCAATCTACCATTAGATCCTGTTCTACTGACTTTATACTGCTAGTTCTAGTTTATTTTCCCATTTCTTTTTTTAAATAGTTTTTATTAAAATATTTCACATATATAATAAGAAGTACATTCAAAGAAAAAGATATAGTAAATGTGAAAGAGAAGAAAAAGAAAAGAAAGGAAAAGAAGAGAGAAAGAAAAAAGGAGGTAGGAAAAAAAGAAAAAACAGAACAGAAAACATGAAAAGAAATATAAAGGAATGGCTTCTGATCTTCCTCTTGGCAATTATGCATACATTTCTAAGCAAACCTCTCTCTAAGATTACATCATAATTCCCTTCTTTCTATAGCCTATTCTTTCTAATCATCAAAAGCATAAGTCACGAGGCTCCCCAGTTTCCAATAAGCAGGAACGTCGTTTGCAGCAAAAGATGAAGTTCATTGCTCTGGAATGATTTCCCAGGAAAACTCATCTGTCTATTCGCTATGCGTTATAGGTGCACACACACACACACACACACACACACCCCCCTCCACCCATACACACACACACACACACCCCCCTCCACCCATACACACACACACACACACCCCCCTCCACCCATACACACACACACACACACCCCCCTCCACCCATACACACACACACACACACCCCCCTCCACCCATACACACACACACACACACACACACACCTCCCCCTAGACATGCACACACACATACTCATCAAATTTATAGGGAACTAGATCTGAACAATTTTTCTCTTCTCCTCATTAATCTTCCTTTTTTTTGGTCTACCCCACGCTTTATATGACATCTAACTTTTATTCTGATTTTTTCAAAATAATTTTATTAACTTGTTAAAATTGCCCTTTGGTTATCTTATTGTTTACAGTGTTTTTATATTTGTTCAGTTGTTCTTGTTTTTTCTTTACTTTACTGGTTGATGTGCATTAGATTGGGGAACAAACACCCCATGCTGTTCAGAACGAAGATAAAAGAACTTCCAGGGCAAACAAGTCTCTGTAATTTAAACAGAAGATCCATAACAGATCACCTCAAAGCAGGATCATAGAGGAACATTTAGATATCATTTGGGACACCCTTGCGGAAATCCCCAGACAAAGCTTTTTAAGTGACTTGAGATCAGTCACCATCAGTAATCTTGGGCATTAACTGCTCATCCTGAGTTCCTCTGACTGGTTGTGTCTTCTGGAGACTTTTTGGGATAATGTTTGAAAGTTGGTTGCATATTCATCATTTGCACTTTTCCAAAGATCCCTTTAAAGCATAGACTGATGGAATATTTTTATAAGTACTTGGTTATGGCACTAGTGAATCCTTAATCTGATCTATACAGAGATGAGCTCTCATATCTGCCAATTTTTTTCCTGTACCCTTTTTCTAACTGATGGAGTTGCAAGAGTGGAATTGGAAGGAGAGAAAGCTAGAAGTTAATTCCAACTTTATTCTACAGTTCTGCAATGAAACAAACATCTTTCTTTTGGGCCAGAAAGAGGGACAATTCTCTATACCCAGGAGCAGGACCTTTGCTCAAACCTTTGTCATTGGTCGTCCTTGCAAGAGATAGGGTCGTTCATGAAATTACCACTTTCCTACAAGGACCAGTGTCCACAAAGACCAACACAACTGAAGACTTGGTCTTCTCTCCTGACAGGACTTTGTGGTTGCTGATCATAAGTCTGGAAGGGGAAGCTTCCTTAGCAATTTCAGCTCCATCAAAATGGTCTGGAGGAGAAGTCATATGCTTGCATGCAGCCTGATGGGAAACAGCACGAACTTTTATGGGTAAGTAGAAAAAAATGCCAGTGAACATGCATTCATTTGCCTTCTCAAAACAACCATGGATAGCTGAAGATCACCAAATTTTGACAGGCAGCTCTTGTCAATATAACCCTTTCCAGAACTGGATCAGAAATGCAATCCATAAGCCCAAAGTGAAGACAGAACTTTGCTGGACCTTTTCATTGCTTTCTTATCTTCTGTTTCTTTTCCCCATATGATTGTCCCCATTTTCTTGGGCAACTTGGAACTTTCTCTACCAAAGAAGAAAGGCCAAAAGTTTTAGGGGGTACATTTTCAGTAGCACAAGAACCTGGCTATTTCAGAATCCAGGTATACAGTATTGGGATTTAGAATCACATTTTAAAATGCTTTCCCCAATAGAAAGAAAGCCAGATAAAATGAAATGAAAAATAAAACCACAACCCCCTCCCACCCAAAAAATCCAACAGAGCACGGATAAAATCTTACTGTGAAAAATGTTAATTGTGATATGATTTTTGACTTGCAAGGAAATATTTTTATGTTTTATTTCTGTAATGCAGGAGCACATTTGAATTTCAACATTGCTTTTTTTCCCCTTCATGTTAAAATGTATTAAGTTGCTTATGTAGTCAAAGGGCTTGAAAGCAGTTTACACGGAAATTGTAAACACGGATAAGACATTTAAATAAAATGAAAAATAAGCAGCATCAGAGGAACCAAAATTGCACAACAGGGAACTAGAATAATAGAGTTTATAATTCCCCAACAGAAATGCAGCAACTTCCCTGCCAAGAAATACTGAAAATGGAAGGTTTCCATTAAATACTGGGAGATCAAAAAGGAACTCCAACTGAGGGGAGTTCCAAATTCTGACCACTGCAACTGAAATATTTTCTAGAAACCTGATCATGCTACTCATTTCAATTCTTTACTCATTATTTCAATAAAATATATAAGCGAAAAAGAGAATAAATCTCAGAATAACATCTACAGTGCAAACAGGGCTTTGGGTATACATCCTTCTTTTCCACCTCTTTCTAGCAACATTCATTTTGTGTTCTCTCTCTCATCCCCCCC